CCGGCAGCACCAGGAGCCCTGCAAGCCCTGCTCTGACCCACGCACACACCACGGCCGGCATCTCCCAGGCTTTTTATCACCAAACGAAGCCCAGGCTGTGCTGGGGCAGCTCGTCCTGCTGCAAGGTCCCCGATTCGGGGCTGTGCCCAGCCCCAGGTGACACCACTGGCAATGCCCACCGTGGGGACAGCAATGGGTGGGGACATTATTTATCAGAAAGCGACGCACCCTGCCCACTGCAGCCTTCCCCCACGGCCACCCCCACCACCCATAACCTGTTTTTCAGCCCCCCCACCAACGGGGGTCCTCAAACGGGACCCCAAAGCCTTCCTGGGATCAGCAGGGTCCCTCGCCTCAGCCTGTGCTACAGAACTGCTTGTCCCTTGTCTGGTCCTGGCCATGCAGGACTGGGGTCCTGGATCCCCCCAGAAGCTCCTCAAACCCAACCCCACCCACATTGCAATGGGCTGATCCTGGCCCCCCACTCAGGGAAAGGGGTCTCTGGAAGGTCTGACCCGGCCAGGGGGTAAATCAGTAGGATGGAGGCAGGTCCTCCAGCCCTTGGGGTGGGAGCTGTGGTGGCAGGGCCTCAGGATCCCCCCCCAGGGTATCTCCCTGCCATCGGGGCAGGACTCCAGGAGGGTTACCAGGTCCTGGAGCCACCCAGAGAGGGACAAAGCATGGCTGGTTGCCCAGGTGAAAGCAAGGCTGGGTCCCTGTCCCCAGATGGGGAGCAGGGCCGGCAGATCCCGGGGGACAGGGTTAGGCACTCACCGAGCCTGGGATCCGACCAGGAAGGAGCTGAGCTCCCGGGCTGGTGGCAGCGGTGTCACTCCAGGGCGCCTTGCGTAACCCTTTGTGGCCCAGACGCTGCCTGCAGGAGGGAAGGGGGAGGAAGGGGGTCCTGGGGCAGCTTCCCGGGCACAGCAGGAGTCACGGGGGGGGCTGGCCCTGCTGTCCTCCACAGCGCTGGTGGCTCACCCACGTCCACTCGCCCCACACCCTGGGCAGGGACAGGCTCACAGGACACCAAGGGGGGTGGTGCCCGGGGGCAGGGGTCCTCCCCCCGCAGGGTCCTGCCTCTGCACCAACCCGCACCGCCCCGGACCCCCAAACCTCCCAGCAGCCCCACCTGGGAGTCCCCGGGGCGACCAAATGGCTTCACCCAGTGCCCCAAGAGGGGACAGGGATGGCAGCCAGCCTGGGGCTCCTGGGTGACCCTGCTGATGGCTGCCACCCCCTTGCCTCCCCTTCCCCTTTCCTCTGCCCCCCACCTGGGCACCAGCCCCACGGCATCCCTCTGTCTGCGGGGCCGCTTTGCTGCGGTGACAGAAATCAGCTCCGCGCCTTGGCTCTCCGTCCAGGCTGCTGCTTCCAGCCGGGGCCGGTACCG